AAAAAATTCTACCTACGCCACTGAATTCTTCGTAAAAAGTTGCCCATATAATGTTTTATTTATAATACTCCATCTTTGATAATAAGTGAGATATTCGCGATTGTCGTTTTCGCAAAATTTTCAGTTTTTGCCGATAGGGCGAAAACAAAAGACGATAGCTGTTCGGAGTTTTCGGCATTAGCGTTTTCTCGAAAAACGAGATCATGACATGTAAGCTACTTTTTTTCTATCTCTTTTAGTTTCGGAGGTAGCCTATGCGGACATCGAAATTGGGACACCTGTACTTATTATCCATATCACAGCAATTAGGAGCCTGATAGCACAGTATATATTCAAAACTGATTAATATCGTCATGAGACAAAACACGTCAATTTTAATTAGTCTAAATATTTTATCGCTATGCCAAATTACAGCTAAATCGATAGCGGACACTCCTATTAACTTAGTAATGTGTACTAAATAAGTGCTTGTAGTCGTCGACGTTCATTTTTGAATTGTTTTTAAAATTCCAGGTGTTTTTCAAATTCGATCACGTAATGGTAAAATGTTCTCTCAATTTTTCGGCATCGTTAATTGTTTTATACACTTATGTTTTTAGGTATCCTGAAATAGAAAAATCAATAGGGTGATTGAGGACTGCGAATTAAAATAAAATTATCGTTTAAGTGACTGCGCTCAATTTAGGTTCTGTTTGTTTCATAAGGGTCAAAAAATACGGTCCAATTAAATAATCATCAATTACCGCATTCCGTACGTTTAAAAAATGTATATTGATGCCGCGTTTTTGTAATTCGCTAAATTGGATTCGTTCGTAAATAAAATATTATTTAAAAATATTCGATTTCCGCTAAATCTATTGTAATCCCAATTCGCAAAGGCGATTTTCCATACTATGCTATGACTAATATTTAAATTATTTACATTTTGGGTGTGTAGCAATAAAATATAAAACTTCTTCGTTAACAACAATAGTTCCAGCTTCTTGCAAAATGATCATAATCTTTATAACCATTGGGAATATTTTTTCATAATCGTTTTTTAAAAATTATTCATATCCGCTTAATAATCTGGAAGCACAAACAGGCGCGTGTATTTTCAGGTGTTTGTGGATTCTAAAAACATAAATTAACACCAAAATTGATCGCCATCTTTTATATAAGAAACAACCTTTAAAATTGTCCCCTCATCTCCTAAAGTTTGGCTCCTAAATACAGTCGACGATCGCCTAAGGTACACAATTGTTGCTGAATTGCTGTAAGAATGTACGCTAAATAGTTACTTTTCAATAGAGATTCCCGTCGGGGATTTACCAAAATCGACTGTGGTCAGCAAGTAAAACATGCTGTTAGTTCTTTTAAAAAATCAGTTTAGTCTTGTTCAGGTCACAATGCATTCATTTCTAACAAAAGATGTTTCTAAGAACAATTAATATAACACTATCATTTTATAAACGTTCTAATTATTATTCAAATATGGAAAATATAAAATAAAACAAGTTATTGTGTTATTATTGCTCATTCTATATTCACAACAATAAAACATTAGATACTTTTATATAATCTATAATAACATTATCTGTTTATAATTTGTGCGTGTTTCATAGTTTCAGGAGGTAAGAATTCCCTGTACAATCTTTTCAGAGTTTGTAATGTAACATGGATTATTTTAAATTATATTTTATACTCAAACTAATTAGATATTTTAATCATGGCATTTAATTTAAGTATGTCCATTTAGTAATTTCTTTGTCTAACAAGGAAAAGCACCCAAGTATCATTCATAAAAGTTTTAAATTTGGTGTAATAATGCAGAGTGATATGTCAAACACAATAAGAGATATAAATAAAATGAAAGACAAAAACTGTTCTACAACTAACGTTGCAGAGTCGATAGGTATTTGAGAAAAGTACAAAAATTCCTTTTGATTTGACACTCTGGATCTTTTTCCTTATTAATAATCATATTAAAATAAGAAATAACCATAAAATATTATAAAAAAATTAAGCTTAGGCCCACTTTTACCACCTCCTGATAAATTTATCCGATAGATAAATCCAGTTCTTAGCCAATGAGAGCGCTTAAAACCGCCGTAACCATGGCAACTATCCTCTAGATAGTTTATCAGGAAGATGGTAAAAGTGGGCCTTAGTCAATTAAATAGTTTCAATAAAATATTTGTTCTTAGTTTCTACATCACAAATATACATTGAAATATAAACATTTTTATTTTACTTAAAACTATCAAAAGAATACTGTTTTGTATTCTAATTTGCATTTGATTGTATTTTTTAATTATTTCTCTACACAAATATTTTAAAATTTGTTTAAGGAAATTTATTTTTTACTGATTCAGGTATTTTTTTAAGTATACTTTCGTGATCAACCCCTTTAGCTGTTGCCAAAACACCCCTACTATTTGGATGCTCAACAGTCTTTTCATAATTATAAGAAGACCCATGGATATCAGTTAATTTTCCTCCCATTGCTGTTAAAACCGCTTCTGGAGCGCAAGTATCCCATTTTTTACAACCTTTACTAGCAAAAACATATGTGTGGGCTCTTCCCTCCATTAACAACAAAACCTAAAATTTAGAAATGAATTTATTTTTTAAATTATGGTTTAAAAAAATTACTTTATTTCCAGCTCCACCAACTCGTATAGTTTCATCTGGATGCAAAGCTTCTAAAGCTGCTTGAACTAACGCGTCTGAATGGGAACGTGTAACTGTTACAATCGTTTTTCCTTGTGGTGGTTGTTGTGGGAGGAAACCACCAACTCCTAAACCAACTAAACCCCAAATTGTGCGACCTGTAGATTCAGGTTCCACTTTATAATTATAGTACGGTTGATGGATAACACCTCCTAAAGCTTTACCCTTTATCGAGAGACCAATAAGTACAGTAACATGATCTAGAAAACCCTAAAAATTATTTTATTGATTATAATAAATATTAATATTCTACATTTTTACCTGTGTATATTCCGAAGTTCCATCTAAAGGATCAACCCAAACTACAACATCTTTAGTTTCAATTTTTTTATAATCATTAGGACATTGCATTGATAAGATTGAATGATCGGAGTCAGTAACAATCCAATCGCTTGGTACTTCCGGATTTTGAGTACCTTCTTCTCCTATTATAGCTATATCAGGAAATTGTTGTGATAACGATGCTATTATACAACGTTGGGCTGAACGATCTGCTTCAGTTTGTAAATCATTTTTACCCTAAATTACAATCAATACAGCAAAAATTAAACATTAAAAAAAAATTAATTACCTTTTCAACAATTCCTAAATCCCCTCTACTCATTACATCTCGAATTATTTTACCGGCACGATTAGCGACCACAACAGAAGAAGCCAACAATCTCATAACTAAAGCGGAATTTTGTGCCATCGTGTCCTAAAAAATAATTAAAAAGGTAACACACTCGTTTTTAAGTTGATTTTGAGGTTATGATACGCAACCTATAAGTGGAGATTCGAAGGATTTATGAGATTTTGATAATGAAAAGTTATTATTACATAACTGTTTAAGTGAGATTATAAATCAGGAATTTATTTTAAATGTGAAATATTTAATAAAAAAATAAGTTTAAAAATGCGTAAACACACCAAACGTCAATTTGACGTAAAAGTTACTAAATAGGTCATTAGGTTAGAAACGAAATGTCACCAAATTTTTTTAATCTTAACTTTACCTGATCCATTTCTTTATGTTTTAAAATGTATTATAAAGTTGAAGTGTGTGTTCGAAGTCCTGTATTGTTAAATAATCGAAAATGTTCGAATATGTATCAATTTTACTTAATTTAAGTAATTCCAATTATCTAATCATTTCACTATCAGTTTTATTGCATGAATTTTGCAATTTAATACCATGACTTGCGTTGTTAAATAAATTGATGATACGTCTTTTTGCTTCTATCCTTGAGATCTATTAAGATGGTACTGAGGAAATATTTATAACAGTTTTTTAACGATAATAAACCATGCTATCTTTAAGTTTCGTTATCTAAAAATGTGATTAAATAACGACATCACATAAACTGTGATATTTAACTTAGTCGTTCACTCACAAAGTCCATAAAACTTTCGTATTTAGAAGTTTTAATTGCAGTTTGATAGTGACCATGGAAAAGTTTGTTTTAAAAGGACCAGATTATACTAATCCCATACCCGATGAGTCCATTGCGTCTTTTCTTCACCCATTTTTTGTTCAAAATATCGACAATGGAGATCTATTTGTAAGTCCTCTTATTATAAACTAGCTTAATAATGTATCAATAGGTATTTGCTGATATAATTATGCTCATGAGCCATTAGCGATAAGTTGATTAATTCTGCTTGACCGATTTCGATTTGAATTGCCATATTCAGGAGAGGCTAATCACCATTATACAGACATGTAACCACTTATGTGTAGTTCTTGAATTTGTAATAGCTGTTTATATTCAAAACTGAGCACTATTTTTCCTAAATGTAAATATAATGTAATTAGAATACATGCTAAGAGGACGACATACAGACAATAGCAGAAGATGACCCAGTAAACAAGAAACCTCTGTGAAACATTTCTATTTTAACGTACAGTGAATTAAATGAAACATCTTAGAACTACGTTTCATATACGTGACAGATACGATTTTTACGAAACGTATCTAAAGATATGTATCAAGTACATTTCAGTAGAAATATTTATGAAATATCATTAAAATATGTAGCAGAAACATTTCATTTGAAACATTTCGCTACAAATGTGTCTGAAACATGTCTGGAATATCTTCAGCACCGCCTGTGAACGTATGTACAAACATTAATTAATGTTTGTAAACAGAACTAACCTAAGGTAACATTCCTTCACGGTTTAATTGACAGTTCAAAAGAAAACTTCACGCTATGATTGGCATTACTAATTACTAAAGAAAACTTCACGCTATAATTAATGTTTGTAAACAAAACTAACCTTACGTAACATTCCTTCACGGTTTAATTGGCATTTCAAAAGAAAACTTCACGCTATAATTGGCATTACTAATTACTAAAGAAAACTTCACGCTATAATTAATGTTTGTAAACAGAACTAACCTTAAGTAACATTCCTTCACGGTTTAATTGGCATTTCAAAAAAAACTTCACGCTATGATTAATGTTTGTAAACAGAACTAACCTTACGTAACATTCCTTAAGGAATGTTAAGGACAAATTTGAAGACAGAATTCAACCATCTCAATAAGCAAATACACAAATAAGTTTGTTTAGAAATCAAGGAAGACGAAAGGCGTTCATACCGGAACAAGATTAAACCTAAGATTCCACATGCACGGATTACTGGCGCCAGTACCAAGCTAGTTTAGTGGCGCCAATTAGCTGGCGACAGAAGTTGTTTCCACATAAATGTTATAATTGTGTACTGGTACAGTAATAAAAATGGCATCAAGTGATGTACTTCGCGCTGGCATCAATGATGAAAATGAAAATAAAGATAAGTGACACGCCAGTTTCATTTTTAAAGTGTATTGCACAGTGCGCAATATATCGAGTGAACTTTCTGAAGCATGCATAATAGTCGCTAAACTTTTAGTGGCAAAAAAGATAAAAGAAATGTAGAAAAAGAAACAACGAAAAGGTCGTGTCTGGGTTAAACCATGGATTAGTCGTCGACCTACTTTGGGTGCTTCTGCAAAACTTCTACGAGAACTCGCAGCAGATATAAAAATCATCTACGAATGATAAAGCAAATTTTGATACTCTTCTGGATTGTGTTCTGACGAGCACTAGTATGTACAAGGTGGTTCAAATTCGATGTCCGAATAAGCTATCTCGGAAACTATAAGAGTTAGAAAAAAAGTTGCTTACCTGTCATGATCTCGTTTTTCGAGAAACTGCTAATGCCAAAATCCTCAAAGCGCTATCGTCTTTTGTTTTTCCCTTAGAGGCTAAAATTGAAAATATCGTAAAACCAGCGAGTGCAATTATCTTGGTTCTTATTACAGGTGGAGTATTATAACGAAGACATTATATGGACACTTTTTTACACAGAATTTGATGACGTAGTCAAAAGAAAAAGTTTCGGTTTTAGATTTTGAGATATTATGACAATTTTCGATTTTTTAAATGGAAACAACCACTGGTTATTCGCTTATTAAATTCGTTATTTTTTTCTGATTACAAAAATATGGGGTTAGATATGTCTATTTCTTATTGTTTTAGAATAAAGCTAAAAATAAACTTTTCTTTTAGTGTCGTCAAAGAAATTAAATTTACAGTTTTCTGTAAATTACGGCACTATAACTAAAAATTATTCTACTAAAAATTTATATAAAATTTACTTTATTTTCTAATATTTAACATTCTAACATGTTAAACTTTATACATAATTTTCGTAATCCATCTTAAAAAACAGGATTTTTAATTTAACACTTCAGAAAATGTTTAAATACAAACAAATGTTGCTATGTTTATTTGAATTAAATAAAAAAATATATGAGCGCCATCTATCAATAATTTATTAAGTCATTTAATAATAATATTAAATATTAATAAAAAATGTGAAATAATGCAATGTATTCCAACTTTTGTGTAAAACAAATATAAATTAAATAGTTCAACAAATGTATTTGTTTCAAATATCAGAAATATGATCTTTTAATTTTTAGTTATAATTTACAGGAAACTGTAAATTTAATTTCTTTCACGACACTAAAAAAAAGTTTATATAAGATGTTCATTTTTTGGATGATTTACTACAGGATGTTGCAATTTTGGTTAACGTTTATGCAGTTGCTCGTTTTCTTTACCAATACTACTATTGTCTTAACTCAGTAATCAGCGTTTGCAGAACATTGTCTTGTATATGGCAATATGGCACAATCCTTATCGCAAAATAAATTTCGACATGACCAAACACTTGCTAAGATAAGGGGCACAATTAACAAATTGAAATCAGTTCATGAATTAGTTATTAAGTAATTAGTTACTTCAGTATATATTGTTAATTTTTGAAAAAGATTGTAACATGACTTCCGAAAAGTCAAACAGTAATAAACTTTAATAAACTTACGAAAATACTAAAAATCCCTACCAAATTAATTACATATTCGAATATTAATCGAAATTAATTGAGCAGAATTATTTCAAAATAAATTATGTTCTGATTATTTTATTAATAAAATGTATTTATTTTTTTAGACTGACGTCGACAACAACAAAAATCTCACATATAGAGAATTTTTTACAAAGATCTGCCGTTGTGCAGAGGCAATGAAAAACATTGGGATCAAAAAAGGAGATGTCGTCACTATAAGCAGTGAAAACGATGTTAATTATTTCGTTCCAATTTTCGGTGCTTTATATATTGGTGCAATTGTTGTTCCTACTAATTTCACCTACACTGAATGTAAGATAATCTTTTCTTAATTCTTCATAAACTATAATTGATTTTATTGTAGTTGAACTTCTTCATTCATTAAAGACGATTAAACCAAACATCGTTTTTTGTTCGAGTAATTCTTTGGAAACTTTTCTTGGAATAAAAAAAGATTTTCCGACCATCAAAAAATTAGTGGTTATCGATACTGAAGATAAACTTGAAGGTTCTGAGTCTTTAGAAGCGTTTATTAACTCAAATAGTCCTCAAATTGATCCGATCACTTACAAAGCTGTTCCTGTAAATGCGAAGGAAGATGTAGCTTTTATTTTATTTTCTTCTGGCACAACAGGATTACCAAAAGCTGTTATGATAACTCATTGGAATTATAACGCCAGAACCAATCTACAATTGTAAGGTGTCATAATTACGTGATTATATTTTATTTGGTTTCTTTTTAGTGAAAAATCAATAATGAGAGAAGTCGCAGGTAAAAACGTTCTTGGAATCTTACCATTTTTTCACGCATACGGTTTGTCTATTGGAATGGGGGTCGCCATACCAGGAAAAAAAATAATCGTTGTTAAATATTTTGACCCATTAACGTATTTGAAATTAATTCAAGATTATAAAATGGAAATACTTTTTGCCGTACCACCTTTAATGCACTTTTTAGCTAAAAGCCCTATTGTTGATGAATTTGATTTATCTGGACTAAAAGAAATTATTTGCGGGGCTGGTGCCTTAACAGAATCGGTGGAAAATGCCGTGAAGAAACGTTTAAAGATAAATTCAATAAGACAAGGTTTTGGTATGACTGAAACAACCCTTGGCGTTACTTTCACCCCTGTGGAAGCCTTCAGACCGGGCTCTTGTGGAAAATTACTACCGGGAATATCTGCCATTGTTAGAGATCCAGAAACTGGGAAATTATTAGGACCTAACGCTGCCGGCGAACTTTGTTTCAAAGGTCCCGTAATCATGAAAGGTTATTACAACAACCCCGAAGCAAATAAAGAAATTTTCACTGAAGACGGATGGTTAAAAACCGGCGATATCGGTTATTACGACAATGACGGCTTCTTTTTTATTGTTGACCGATTAAAAGAATTAATTAAATACAAAGGATTCCAAGTCGCACCTTCAGAATTAGAAGGAATTTTATTGACGAATCCTAAGATTAAAGATGCGGCTGTTATTGGTAAACCACACGAAAGAGATGGCGAACATCCTCTGGCTTTTATAGTTAAACAAGACGATGTTGAATTAACAGAAAATGAGGTCATAAATTATGTGGCAGGTAAATTATTAATTATTACTTCTCGACGTGCTTTATGATTCAAGTTTTTGCGATTCATATTTTTTGTTTGCAGGTTTCGTTTCTAAACGGAAACAATTGCATGGTGGAGTTATTTTTACTGATGATATTCCGAAAAATCCTAGCGGTAAAATTTTAAGAAGGGAACTCAGGGAATCAATTAAAAAGAAAATGTCTAAATTGTAAATTATTTTTTATATTTTTGGGAAAATAAATTGTTTATTAAATAAATAAATAAATAATAAATAAATTCAGTTAATTATTAGAAATATCAGCTACAATCTATTTACGTTAATTGAGTTGAAACGAGTAAGATATTTTTTGGATAAATAATAAAAATAAAAATTTAACCTTCAAAATTATTACTTAAGGAGTTCAGATAAGGTTATTCAAAATAACTTTTATACAGAGTGTTTACTTCGGACGTGACTATATCATTTCTGGTTGGATGTTTGTGTGAAATTAGTTTACCACTAATTGTCTAGAACCAAAATACCAAATAATATCCACCAGTTTATCATAATTAAGTCCCAAAGTGTGATACACTAAAATACCCCTTTAATTTTGATTTGTATCTAAAAACCCTGTATATAATTTTATTTATATGTCCAAGCAAACATTTCTTATCAGAGTACAATATAATTTACGATTACATATACTTAAACGTAATTATCTATTACTTTCATTTTTCAAAAACTTGTGTAGTGTCAGTGTTCTTTAAGAAAATGTCAGAAGAAAACATTTTTTCCGGTGGAAAGCGCCAATTACCAACATCACAAGTTAACACTGGGGTCGAATTGCTTGAAGCTTTAAAGAAACGAGATAAAAACTTCATTATATTCGTATGGATAATATTTTATTTCTATTTTTAATTGATAACAAATTATATTTTATAGGAAGATGTGGAAACTGGTGAAACTATTACAGTTGGAGAACTTATAGAAAATGCCTGTCAATTATCAAAACGCTTAACTGATTTTATTGGAAAATCAGGAAATATAATTGCGGTTGCCTCTGAAAATAACGTGAATTATTTCACTGTTGTATTAGCGGCTTTATTTAGTGGTGTCCCTGTTGCCCTATTAGATCCAAATTACACAATTTGTAAGAACCGTAAAAACTTCATAAACTGTGTTAAAACATTTAGTTTTAGATGAACTTCGCACAATTTTAAGCATCACTAAACCAGCCTTAGTTTTCTGTTCTTTAAAACAAATCCCAAAATACACGAAAGTTTTAGTAACTTATCGATCAATAAGAAAATTAGTGGTTATCGATTCAAAAGGTGATGGAAAACAATTTGATTCTCTTCGAACGTTTACCGAACGTTCCACAACAATTTCTAATTTTACAATTAAAGATGTCAACATTAAAAAAGAAACCGCTTTCATTTTATTTTCTTCTGGAACAACTGGTTTACCAAAAGGTGTAATGCTGAGTCATTTTAGTATTAACACCACGATGGTTATGGCTGGAGATCCAACAATTAAATCACCAACAAAAGCCGATACCACATTGGGTTTACTACCGATTTACCATGTTTATGGTTTATTCGTCGTTATCATGTCTGTACTAGAAGATAGAAAAGTTGTGTTGTTAAAAAAATTTGAACCGGAGTTATTTTTGAAGACAATTCAAAATTATAAAATAACACGCTTGGCTGTAGTTCCACCACTTGTTCAGTTCTTATTGAATAATCCTTTAATTGAGAAATATGATTTATCAAGCTTACAAGAAATTGGAAGCGGCGCTTCTATGCTTCCAGAGAAATCTCGAACGGAAGCTATAAAAAAATTTAACTTAAAATATTTTCGCGTTGGTTATGGTCTTACTGAGTCAGGATTAAGTGTTTCTTCAATGCCTTATAATACACCTAGACCAGGATCGGTTGGTAAATTATACCCAGGAATTTCAGCTGTTATCAAAGATTTAAGAACTGGGAAAAATTTGCCACCTTATAGTCAAGGCGAAATATGCATTAAAGCTGATAGTGTCATGCAAGGATATTACGGAAATCCGCAAGCAACCAAAAATAGTTTTACTAAAGATGGATGGTTGAAAACTGGTGATCTTGGATATTTTGATGAAGACGGATATCTATATATTGTTGATAGATTAAAAGAAGTTATTAAATATAAAGGATTTCAAGTATGTAAACGAAAAAGAAAACGAAAAGTAAGATAATAAAAGTAATTTTTAGATCGCTCCAGCTGAACTAGAAGCTATTTTATTAACTCACCCAAAGATTCAAGACGCGGGGGTTGTTGGTAAACCCGACGATAAGGCGGGAGAATTACCAACAGCTTTTGTAATTAAAAAAAGCGGTGCCAAATTAACAGAAAATGAAGTTAAATTTTATGTAGCAGGTTCTAAATAAGTCGATAACTTTAAAAAATTTAAATTAATGAGTTATTTTTTAGGATTTGTTAAACGTGAAAAACATTTACATGGAGGAGTAATTTTTTTGGATGAATTACCGAGGATGAGTTCTGGAAAATTAAAAAGAAAAGATTTGAAAGCTTTACTAAACAATCCTAAATCTAAACTATAATTGGTACTCATTGTCCTTTATAAGAAAGAAATAAAATATGTCTTATTATTTCAGTTTTATTATAAATATAATTTTAACATTTCTTTTTCATCAAGGAAATGTTAAAATTATAAGTTATTTGTTTATAATTGTTTGATCTCAAATAATTCTCAAAAAACTTTTATAAACTAAAAAGTAAACAAAAAACGATATTTACCCTAAATATTGTGTCCTCCAACTAAATTGCCAGCGATCTCTTCGGTGTTCAGACCCAGAACAACCAGATAGATCTGGATCTTGCGAAAAAAGCTGCTGAATTGTTGAGGTTCAGGTTGCAAGAAAAAAATTCGTTGGTTAAAGGGACATCTTTTTATTTCAAAGAAAAATTTCAAGCGCTGGGTTGCTCCATGAGTGGGAAAATACATTTCCTTCACTTACATGTGAACTTTTTCCTCGTAAAATTTAGAATCAGTCTAGGAAGAATAGGTTCCACTAGAATATCAAAGATATAGTGTGCCAAGGAGTATCATAACACGTTGTTTTTTGTTCAAGTTAAAATTTGTTTCAAACTTTCATGTATACCTACATACATAATTATTTATTTGATCCTCTTTCGTTTAATGTCTAATGCTTAATGAAGCCAGTTTGCTAAGCTGGATAACAGGTTTTCATGAAAAATGAATCTTTCCAAACGCCAGTTCATTTAATGAAATTTTATTCTGATGGTGGACTGAAAGCTACAAATTAATCGTATTGTAAAACTTCTGCAATATCATATGCATCCATTTTCTAAATTTTGAGTTTATCTTCTGATCTTAACGGACTTGACAACGACACTTCCACTTGGGGACTCTTTTTTCCGTGTTCTTATTCTTGAAAGGCAGAACCTGATAGCAAATTTATAGTAGAGTAAAGTATTCCTTACAAGCAAGAAGTAGTTAGCACTTGAGTTGTAATCCTATAATGATAATGAAGAAACCAGTATGAGTTTGACCTTTTCGACGACAAATCGTCATGTAAAAAGTCAAAAAGGTATAAATTAAAACGTTAGGTACCTCTTTGGATAAAGATATGATAAGGTGAAGACCTGGATATATTTGAAAACGTTATAAAAGTCAAATCATTTAACTTGTTGGTGATACCATAATAGATACAGAATAAAATGGCTAAATTCTCATTGGACACCGTGAAGGTTACGTGGTCTTTATCATTTTATATTTGGTGAAAGCAGAAAAATATTGTTGTTTACAGTCTACGAGTCAACTCACTGCTACATAATTAATTAAAACAGAAATATAATTAAACGTATGGCTACGTTTTAAAATTGAACATCATGATTTTAATTCCATCATATTCTGTTGTTTATTAAACATAATTATCTTCTCAAGAGCTTGTTTTTGAAACCACAACGATAAACTTATCATAATACTAAAAAAAAACAATCTTTACGATAAAATTCGTTAATATCTTAGTAATGTTTATTTTTGCATGTTGTATTTGTTACAACATTATATTAATACATATTGAGCTACATCTTACAACCCGTAGCTCTAAGTAATATGAATAATTCCCAAAATATATTAATAGGGACGAAACTTCATCTACCTGTTCCCAAGGTTAACGTTGGACATCTTTTATATGACGAATTGAAGAAAAGAAATAGTAATGATATTGCTTTTGTAAGTTGATTTATTTCGTGTTAAATTATATTTCATAATTACGTTTTTAATTTATTTATAGAAAAGTTATCTTACAAATGAATCGAATTCTGTTGGAGAAATTTTTAATAATTCTTTAAAATTAGCGCAAGCTCTTACTAACTTAGGACTTAGCAGCGATGACTTAATAGCAATAGACGCTCATAATCATGTTAATTATCCCATAATTGTTTTAGCAGCTTTATATACTGGAATTCCCTTAGCTTTGATGAATCCAGCTTACACAGCCTGTAAGTAAAACATTTTTCAATTTATGTACATCTACTAAAAGTTTATTGTATTGATAATTTTAGATGAACTTGAAAATCTTTTTAAAATTGTAGAACCAAAAGTTGTTTTTTGCTCGAAGATAAATTTAGAAACATTGTTGACAGCAAAATCTAAATCAGACACAATTAAAAAGGTTGTTGTTATTGATGAATTAAAAGACAAAATCGAGAACAAAGATGTTACTATGTTAGAAAAGTTCTTAGAATGTTCCAATACAAATTTTAAAATTCAACAAATTAACACTAAAGAGCACATTGCTTTTATTATGTTTTCATCTGGAACTACTGGTTTGCCCAAAGCTGTTGTTACCACACATCACAATATAAACGCAACATTAATTGCTATACAGTAAGTAATTATTGATACAAAAGAATTCTTAATATAGATCTTAATCTAATAGACATCCATCAATGGGAACTTTACCTCTCGATATGAAAACCGTTCTCGGAGTTCTTCCGTTTTTCCACGTTTTTGGTTTTTACCAACAATTACAAGCTATTCAAAAATCAATACCGATGATCGTCATGGAACATTTTAATCCTCTTCATTATTTACAATGTATTGAGAAATACAAATTATGGAGTTTAACAGCAGTTCCCCCACTTGTAAATTACTTGGCTAAAACTCCGAGTATTGATGAACATGATTTGAGTAATTTAACAGACATTGTTTGTGGATCAGCTCCTATTGGAGAAGATATTTTACTATTGGTGAAAAATAGATTAAAATTAAACGACGTTCGTATTGTTTACGGCACCACTGAATCCCATATGATCATTGCAACAACTCCGCCAGGATCTACAAATATAAAATCAGTTGGAAAAATTGGAATCGCTACAACTCTTTGTATTAGAGATGTGGAAACTGGAAGAAACTTACCAGCAAATCACCAAGGAGAAATTTGTACAAAAAGTGAAATGATGATGAAATGTTATTATAAAAACGAAACAGCCACAAAAGAAGCTTTTACTGAAGATGGTTATTTAAAATCTGGCGATATTGGTTATTACGATGAAGAAGGTTACATATACATAGTTGATAGATTGAAAGAGTTTATTAAATGCAAAGGATTTCAAGTATCTCCATCTGAACTTGAAGCAGTATTGATAACTAACAAAAAAATTGCGGATGTTGGTGTTATTGGAAAACCTGATGAAAGTGCTGGGGAGGTTCCTATTGCTTTTGTTGTGAAAGTTGGCGGAGTTAACCTGAGCCAAGAAGAAGTAAAAGAATACTTAGCTGGAATTTTGAGTAAACATAAACAACTTTATGATGTTTATTTTGTGGATGAAATACCACGAACACCATCTGGGAAAATAATAAGACGCGAACTTAAAAGATTATTAAATAAAATGACACAGTCTAAATTGTAAAGAGATATTAATTTTCAAAGATTCGGATTTATATTGTTAATAATTATAAAAAGGAGAATTGAATCTAAAAACATTTAATAAAAAGTTATTTAATCTATTAAATACAATTAATTTATGATCAAAAATTTAGTAAAGTCCAGCAACAACTTGTTACAAAAAAGTAAAATATTTCAACCGATTCCAAAGCAAAATTTTTTCAGTTTATAATTAAAGTAATTGTTTTACCTTTACTTTTTAAATACTCTTTAATAAATTATCTAAACTATTAAGTAACAGCAGTTATTTTTTCTTTTCATGCAGTTTTATCATTACCTATCTTTCTTAAGTGTAAATTTCAAATATTAATTTCTTATATGTATTAATTTACACTTTTTTGATTACCGCAACCGTATCAAATAACTTTAACTTCTCATCGAAAACGTTAGTGTTATATAAGTAAGTCATATAGTTGTTTACGTCATTAAAAGCGTTGATTATAGTCCCAAGTTCACTACTTATCACTGACACGATAAACTTATCAAAAAATTAATTATACATATATGGAACAAAATATTGGTAAAGGATTAGTTGTAATAATAGACTACTCATTCATTATAAGTCCTAAAAAATATGGATAAAACGGAAAATATACTAATTGGAAATGAATTACATTTACCTATTCCCGTGGTTAATGTGGGGCAACTTCTTTATGATGAGTTGAAAAATAGAAATCAAGAAGACATTGCTTTTGTAAGTTGTTTTATTTAATTAACATTTTTAATTTATATTTTATTTTTTAGAAAAGTTATCTTACAGATGAATCGAACACCGTTGGCCAAATTTTAAATAATTCTTTAAAACTAGCTCAAGCTTTCACCGAATTAGAACTTACCACCAAAGATTTAGTTGCGATATGTGCCAATAATCATATTAATTATCCCATAATCGCTTTAGCAGCTTTATATTCTGGAATTCCGTTAGCTTTGATGAATCCAGCTTACACTACTTGTAAATTATAAAAAAGCAATTTATAAACATTATAATACTTTACTTAATTTGATTTTAGATGAATTCGAAAATCTTTTTAAAATCGTCGAAGCAAAAATTGTATTTTGTTCAGAGATGAATTTAGAAACGTTATTGCAAGTGAAATCGAAATCAAATACAATAAGAAAGCTTGTCGTTATTGATCAACAAGACATCAACAACAAAGATGCTATTTCATTAGAAAATTTTTTGAAATCGACAAACTCTAATTTTAAAGTTAAAGAAATCAACACTAAAGAGCAAATTGCTTTTATAATGTTTTCATCTGGAACGACTGGATTACCAAAAGCTGTTGCTTTAACACATCATAACGTGAATGCTACATTAATTGCAATTGAGTAATTATTAATACAAAACTGTTTAATATTTTTAATTATTTTTTATAAATCTAGGCATCCAGCAGTGGGAATACCTCAAGATATGGGAATCACTCTCGGAGTTCTTCCTTTCTTCCACATTTATGGTTTCTATCAACAAATACAAGCTCTCAAAAAATCAATTCCAATGATCGTTATGGAACATTTTAACCCATTCGATTACTTACAATGTATAGAAAAATATAAACTGGCGACATTAATCGGAGTTCCACCACTCATTAACTTCTTAGCCAAAAGTTCAATAATCGACGATTATGATTTATCCAGCTTAAAAGACATTACTTGTGGATCCGCACCGATTGGTGAAGATGTTTTATTATTAGTCAAAAACAGATTAAAATTAGATACCGTTCGAAATGCGTACGGTTCAACTGAAGCTCATATGGTTATTGCAACAACACCGTTAGGATCTACAATTAATAAATCTGTTGGCAAAATTGCAACAGCTACAACTCTCTGCATCAGAGATATAGAAACTGGAAAAAATTTACCAGCAAATCAACAAGGCGAAATTTGCACTAAAAGTGAAATGATGATGAAAGGTTATTATAAAAACGAAATTGCCACTAAAGAATCGTTTACTGAAGATGGTTTCTTAAAATCGGGTGATATCGGGTATTATGACGAAGATGGCTATATATACGTTGTTGATAGATTAAAAGAGTTTATTAAATACAAAGGATTTCAAGTAGCTCCGGCAGAACTTGAAGCTGTACTGATGAAAAATGAGAAAATTGCTGATGTTGGAGTGGTTGGAAAACCGGATCAAGCAGCCGGGGAAATCCCTATTGCTTTTGTTGTAAAAGCTGAAGCCGTCGATTTAAGTGAAGATGAAGTAAAGAAATATTTAGAGCAATTTTTGAGCAAACACAAATATCTTCATGCTGTTTATTTTGTGGATGTTATCCCACGTACACCATCCGGGAAAATAATAAGACGAGAACTAAAAGGTTTATTAAAGAAATTAACAGAGTGTAAATTATAAGAAATTTAAAGTTCACCTTTATTATTGAATATTGCTTTTTAATAAATTAAAGTCTAAATAATCATAGGTCTTTTATTTCTATATACATCATGATAAGCCACATTTTTGAATTTACAATTTTGATTTCATCATGTTCTCCAAAATTTTCTTCAATTCCCTTCTCATAATTTTTCCAGATCGAGTCCTAGGTATTTCATCGACAAAGTAAACTTCGTGTAAATGTTTTCTTTGAGTAAGAAAACCTAAAACAAACTCATTAAAACTTATTACATTCAAAATAAATAAACCGTACCGGCTACATAATTTTTAACTTCAGTTTCGGTGAGATCAACATCTTCTTGTTTCACAACAAAAGCCACTGGTACTTCCCCAGCTACTTTATCCGGTTTACCAATAACGCCGGCATCTGCAATCTTTTTGTTCTTCATCAACACAGCTTCAAGTTCTGCTGGAGCCACTTGAAATCCTTTGTATTTAATCAATTCTTTCATTCTGTCAACGATGTAAAGTTGACCATCTTCATCGTAATATCCAATATCTCCAGATTTTAACCAACCATCTTCAGTGAACGTTTCTTTAGTTGCAGCATCATTTCTGTAATAACCCTTCATTACCATATCACTTATCGAACAAATTTCGCCTTCTTTAAACGCTGGAAGAGATTCCCCAGTTTTTACATCTCTAATAAACATTTTCATCCCAGGAGCAACTTTTCCCACTGAACCTGGTCTTGCTCCTACCGCTGGAGATATTGTAACCAACATATGAGCCTCTGTACAACCATAAGCTTGACGAACATTTTGTAATTTCAAACGATCTTTGAGTTCTTGAATAGTATCTTCACCAATTGGAGCTGAAGCACAAGTTGCTTCTTTTACACACGACAAATCGTAATCATCAACAACAGGGCTTTTAGCTAAAAATTGTATCAACATTGGTACTCCAATAACGACGTCGATTTTGTACTTTTCAATACACCTTAAATAATCAAATGGATTAAAATGTTCAAGAATCATTAAAGGTTTCTTCTTGATGATGGTTTGAAGGATGACGTATAAACCGTAAATATGGAAGAATGGAAGGACGCCTAATCCAACGTCTGGTTCAATTGGAAGTACTAAATCAGGATGACTATAAAACAATAAAAAAAGTAAAAAAATTAAATTTTTTAATTAAGTTCTTACTTTAACCCAATAAGAGTACCACTAACACCATAATGAGTTAAAGCAACTGCTTTCGGTAAACCAGTTGTGCCCGAAGAGAATAAAATAAACGCTAATTGATCTTTAGCGTTGACTTTTCTAATTGGAAAATCAGCAACGGAAAATTTCGATGAAATTGATGGTGAAATAAACGCGTCTAAATCTTCAACTCCGGGAACTGGTTCTTCAGTGTCGATAACCACGACTTTTTTTAACGTTTTCGTTTTTGGTTTTAACTTAACTAACGTTTCCATGTTCATTTCTGAACAAAAAACAACATCCGGTTCGATGATGTTAAAAAGACTCTCCAATTCATCTAAAATAAAATTATTACAAAAAAAATCATTTGATATTTCTTTTTAATTTACACTCTGTGTATACGGGACTCATTAACGCCAAAGGAACTCCAGCGGCTAACGCTCCAAAGATCACACTTGGATAATTAATATGATTATTTGAACAAATAGCGATTAAATTATTTGAAGATAGTCCCATTTCTGTTAAAGAGATTGCTATTCTAGCGGAATCATCAAGAACTTTTCCAACAGAAACCCATTGATCGGTGATATCGTTTTTCTGTTTTAAAATTCGATTTTTTTAAATACAATTAAATAAAATGATAATGAGTACTTACAAATGCAATTTCATCTCGTCTACGTTGACGGAAATTCTCATAAATTTGTTGGGCAAGATTTTCATTAGGAATTGGAGAACTTAAAGGTGGGCCAACAAGTACATGCTTTCTGTTCATGATGATTTTTTTATTGGATGTGGAAGAGTTTAAGACGAGTTTATTTGATGAGGTTTATAGAAACACTGTTCGATTTATAACGCTTTATATACAACAACGATAAGCGATAAGTTATCTAATATGGGTTGACCTAGCTCCTTAAATAACAAAAATTCTTTTTTTTACGAATATATGATGTCAGTATATTTTACGTTTTTATAATAACAGTTCTTTTAAATCTTTTTTTAAGATCTTTCCTCCCGGATTTTTTGGTATTTCATCTATAAATTGAACTCCTCCTGATAATTGCTTATAAGTTGAAACTTGTGCTAAAATGATATGAATTAATTTAATTAATTGGATTGATTTAATCATAATTTTACCAGCAACAAATTTTGCAAGCTCATCTGGAGTAACATTAACACTTTCTCGCCTCACAACAAAAGCTGTTGGTAATTCTCCAGCGTTATCATCGGGTTTACCAACAACGGCTACATCTTTAACTGCTTTGTGTTTTAAAAGAATTCCTTCAAGCTCAGCTGGAGCGACCTAAAATTATTAAAAATTACATCTTCTAAAAAAATGGTTTTAAAGAAATTACTTGAAATCCTTTATATTTTATTAACTCCTTAATTCTATCAACAATAAATAGAAAACCATCATCATCAAAATAACCAACATCACCAGTAAGAAAATAACCATCCGAATCAAAAGCTTTATGATTAGCTTCATCATTACAAAAATAACCATTTGTTACATTAGGCCCTTTAATACAAATTTCACCTCGTTGATTAGCTGGGAGAATATCTCTACTCTCAATATCTTTAATTACAACTTGGGTGTTGGGCCCAACTCGACCGGAACTATCGGGTTTTGAAGTTGTTCCAGGAGGAACGCAAGTCACAATTCCAGTTTCTGTTAAACCGTATATTTGTCTTACTTTTATTCCTAATCTTTGTTTGACCATATCCAAAACATCGTGAGTAAGCGGTGCTGCACCGCATATAATATCTTTCAAGCTTAATAAATCGTATTTTAAAACAAGAGGATTTTTAGCTAAAAATATTGCCAAAGGAGGAACTACAAATAATGTGGATACTTTGTAGTTCTGTAAAGTTGTTAAAAACAAATCTGGTTTGAAACGTTTTATAAAAACTGCTTTCGCTTCTAGAATTATAGAGGTTATTGTTACGTAAAGACCGAAAATATGAAAAACTGGGGCTAAGATTATTGTTGAATCTCCCGGTTGTAATAAAATGATATCTTTACTCCTAAATTTTAAAATAAAATGTTAATTAATCAATAAAATTTCGATAAATTTTGGCTTACATAAAATGAGGAATATGAGAATATACGTTTTTATAAGAAACTTTAACTCCTTTTGGCACACCTGATGTTCCAGAAGAAGATAAAATCATTGCTGTATCATCGTCAGTGTTTACATCAATCGGTTTAAAGCTTTCTATTTCAAAATCATTACAATTGTTTATGAAATCATACAAAATCCGAAGACCACCCGATGATTCCCTCTCCATTAAAATAACTTCTTGTATATCTCCTAATTCATTTTTAATTTCCATGAAATTATTTACAGCGATTTGAGAACAAAAAACAAATTTTGGATTTATGTTTATAAGAGAATGACTTAATTCACCTAAACAATAATAATTAATTATGATACAATAATAAATTAGTTTTTCTTACGCGAATTATAAACTGGATTAACAAAAGCTATGGTTGTTCCCAAAAACATCGATGCTAATAAGGGAAATATAACCAAGTTGTCATTTTCGCAAAGAAGCGCTATAACATCTCCTTTTTTAATGTATTTACGTAAAGTTAGAGCTAATTTGATTGACTTGTTTAAAACGTCCTTTACAGTGAATCCTTCGTTTGTATCTGCATTCACCTTTAAATAAATCGTAGAATAAAACAAACATTTCATCAAGATTTAATCAAAAGTTGTTGAAATATGTACTTACCACCAGTATATCAGATGGATTAAATCCTTTTAATCTATTAAAAATGTATAAACCAAGCGATTCTTTAATTAATGGAACTTTTGGGCCATAGACTATGTGATTATTCATTTTTAATTAATAAATAATGTGAGAAACTATAAGTATATTATAAGTGTATAATATTAAAGTTTGATTTGAAATAACTCGCATTTATATGTTTTTGATTACTTGGTATATTGACCTCCATGCACGAGTTTGCAAAAAAACATAAATTTTTTTTCTTGTTGAACCAAAGTATTATAAAGTATAAACACTATAAGAATTTATTCAAAACATGCTAACGATAATCTTATAATTTCTACTCTTACCCATCATTATCAGTTTATACAATTCATTTTTAATGAAACATCGATCTATCTTTTCTAATAATAAACTCACGTGCGATCTCTTTCTTTATCACTTACCACTTTAGACCGTGGTTACATTGGATAAGAATTCGTACGAAAATTTAGTCGTACGAGTTCGTAAGAATTCGTACGAATTGATCAGAAACGAACAGATGCATTGTTGTCTTTAGAGATGGTTACATTGCTTGTGTACGTTTTTTGGCGCAAGCAACAATACATTTGTTCTGTTATTTAATTCTTTATGTGACTAAAATTGTACCGGGTGTGGCGTTATTCCACAATCCTTTCACTTTTAAAATTAAATGGTGTGGTTATAATCAACTTTCTGGCATTTTTATATAGCACCGTTAGTCTAACAACACATACGTGGTAATTTAAAAATACGACTGAAACTTAAAAGTTAAGTACCACTTCCGGAAATGAAGTCTGATTAAAATTTTATATCTGAATGTTTACTACGATTACAAACTCTTATACAGATTTTGATTAATTAATTTCAATTTAAGACGTTTGCTTGTATAAAATAAACTTTGTGTATGTTCAGATAAAATAACACTTCGTGGTTTCAGGTTGATAACCGTCTAAGAACTCTCATGTAGATCCAGAAAGAAATCTTCTTCTTTCGAGGCACCATGAGGTTCTGCCAACTACATGGGCACAAATAACGAACTCCCGGCTCCAATGCGTCAAATGTCCCAAATAAAAATATAGATGAGTTTATAAACAATCAAGTTCAGGTCGATGTTGAATGCAGCACCTGGCATCACCACCTACGATATACTTTTAACATCCTATCCTTCAGTGTTTAACCACTTCCGAAGATTTTTCAACAATGCAGCAAACTGGGTATGTACATTTCTAGGAATCTTCTCAAATTCTAAACTATTTCTTATATTTGGGATTGTTTCCTCACGATATAGGGTGGATACAAAGAGGTTGCTACTAAATCCTTGTAATTAAGGAAACGTAGAACACTCAAGCACCGAAGCACTAGGATCTCTCATCGTACTACTAGAACCGAGCTGTACAAGGAATATCAATAGTCTTTTGACCATCAGACCGCTAATTGCTTCACCTGTTGGTTTGGATGAGCCGAAGCCATCTATTATACTGCGTTTCTATTCCAGTCGCCGACAGAGTTACCCATTGTATTCGCATTTGCTAGGCAGAAATAACCTGAAAAACAGAAATAACGCCATCATAACAAAAACCCGACAAAAACTTAACTCATCAAAATTCTAGTCCATGAAACCAACGATACTGTAAATGACGATGAGTTTAAAAACACCTTTACGGATCTCCTTTCGTTGATATTAATTTAATGGTGAGGTCCTGCTTTATACTAACTACTAGATTAAATTCATGGACGGATCACTGAAATGTTATGCTATTGGGATTGGTTAATCTGGGGTTTCAACTGGGTTGGTCCATCTGAGTGAAAACCATCTGCTGATCCGCATCATATAATGGATTCCAGTGGAAGTAGGTAGAATCGTGCTATTCAACAATGCTAAAGCGCAGAAATTATGAAAATCGTGTTCAGCAATATCAACAGTCTATAGTATCAGAAGGGGAACGTATTAAACTGACATAATTCTTATCAAGAAGACCGATCCATGATTGTCCAAACATCTAGGCATATCAAACTTCATTGTATCTTTGCCGAGGATCTGAACTGTACACATCCTAGTTGAAACTCCAGATTAACCAATTCCGATATTAAACCATTAAACCATCAACTCTCATACAACATAGAAATTAACATCTGTCATTCTTTATACATTTTTTCTGCATCACAAATTTTTCCATTACGTATTAATGGTAAACAGCATTTGAAAATTTCATTTTTTAATAAGCTGTTTCAGTCAAAATACTCAAACCGTCTGTTTGTGGATAATAACAAATATTACACCTACATATTGAAGGTAGCAGATACTATAATAGACAAATAATTCTTGTCATAACACAACTTAACATTCAAATGGCCAATGTTTTATTATGTCCATAAATTATAATTAAAACATTAAAGTTTTTCATTAATATATTTTCTGATTTCTCGTTTCATTATTTTTCCATTTGCGTTTTTTGGAATGTCATCCACGAAGTAAACTCCTCCATTTAGTTCCTTGTAAGGAGCCACTTTTCCTAAAAAATATTTTTTATTGTTAAATTAAGAACAGTTAATAAGATCTATTTTCATCATTCTTATTATCTTGATTATCTTCAAAAATACCTTTTAAGAAATCAACTAGTTCTTCTCCTGTCACATTAGCTCCTGGTTGTTTAACAACCACAGCACATGGAAATTCACCAGCTCTTTCATCTGGAACACCAATAACGGCAACATCTTTAACAGCTGAATGAGTTAGTAAAAGTCCTTCTAATTCAGCAGGTGCTACCTAAAAATTTTGAAATAATTAATAAAAAATTATTTACTTTTGATGCATATTTACTTGGAATCCTTTGCACTTAATTAATTCTTTTAATCTATCCACAACGTAAAGTTTACCATCTTTATCAAAGTAACCAACATCTCCGGTTAGGAAATACCCATTTTCATCGAAGGAATTTTCTGTTTCCTCCGGATTATTAATGTATGTTTTAAATATTGTTGTCCCTTTTACACAAATTTCTCCTTTACAAGATGTTGGTAAAATCTCTTTAGTATCTGTATCTTTTATTATAACCGAGATATTTGGAATTAAATTTCCGATAGCATTAGGTGCGTGCTGAGAATTTTTTGTAGTCATTGCTACACAACCGGTTTCAGTTAATCCATATAATTGCCTCACCTTTATATTTAGTCTATAAAGAATTTTATAATGTTCTAAAATTTCAAAAATAAATGAATTACCTGGACTGTAATAAATTCGAAACCGATTCTGTTAATGGAGCAGCACCACATAAAACATCCTCAAGGCTGGATAAATTGTATTTTTCCACTAGTGGACTTTTAGCCATAAATATTGCTAAGGGTGGTACAATTGTCAGCTTATTAACTTTATGGGTTTCGATTGTTTGCAAAAAAATTTCTGGCCGAAACGTTTTTAAAAACACAAGTTTGCTGCCAAATATAGCACCATACAAAGTAACATAAAGACCAAATATGTGAAATAAAGGCACCAGAACCAGAAATGTTACATCCACAGACATTCCTACGTAATTAGTTTGTCTAAAATTATATTGTCTTAGTCAATGAACGTAGAGTTAATTAAAGAAATTTACTGAATGTATGGTACAGCTGCTAATAGATTTGAGTAAGATATTATAACCCCTTTAGGTAACCCACTTGTTCCGGAGGATGACAAAATTACAGCTCCTTTAGATTGGTCGATTTTTACAGGTTTAAACTGATCGAAATCAGTGTTTTCTTTCATTAAATCGTGTATGGTAATAAATCCATTTTGGTTATCATCGTCCATAAGGATAATAGTTTCCACGAATGGTAATTCTTTTTGAACATCAAGGACTGATTGTAAAATAGAACTTTTACAAAACACAAGTTTCGGTTTGTGTAATGAGAAATTGTGAAGTAATTCTCCTGTTAACAGAATAATTTGGTTTTTATGTAAAAGTATTTGTAAATTACAGCCATAAAATAACTTTTTTGTTTATGAATCGCAAAAAACAAAATATATTAAAATTAACAAACTTTAATCTAATGTAATATCTACCGTTTAACCGTCTTCGATAGCGATTACGACTGTAATAATAATTTTCTAAGTGAATACGTCGAAGTTAAAGTTCTACAAACTTTTTTAAGCCGATTTAGAGGTTTACTGTTTAGATTTAAAGCCATTATATAGTTTGCTTTATTTTGTTTAGCTTCGCCAAACTAACTTAAGAGATTATTGTAGCACGTACTTTAAGAAGTACAACTTTTTCTGTAGTTGAGACAAGATCGCACGGTTTATCTCGATCGAGGTTCATAACAGGGTTTATTGTACCTACATATTTCTCGATATCAAGCTTATTTTTGGATTTGGTTTAGCATGTTTTGGATTTGATAATCCAGAAGATAAGATAAATCATGCAAACATAAGCATGCTAACAATAAGGCTATAAATGTAGAGGGCAAAATTCAGACGGTAAAGGAATAATAATAAAAACAAAATATGGAAATCATCCAATCCGGTTGGTGTGTGTTCTAGATTGGACGTCGCACCTTTATTTTACCTGCATAAAGGAATAAAGTTGCGACGTCCAGTCTGGAATATGCACAAGCACCATCTTTTCCGATTGGACGGAACCCTTAAAGGTACATAATTAATAAATATTTACTTGTTTTGTAACCTGGATTCACCAAAGCGATAGTACTTCCCAAATATAACGAAGCAATGATTGGAACAACACTTAAAAATTCATTTTCGCAAATACAAGCTATTGTGTCATCATTACTAATGTAGCGTTTCAAAGAAATTGCTGTATTGATACATTTCGATTGAAAATCGTCCACTGAAATAGCATCATCGCTTTCAGCGTTTACCTAAAATGAAATAATAATTTTAAATATAATTACAATTTTTTGATATTTACCAAGTTTTTCTTTTGAGATGTTTGTAAAGAAAGTTTTTCAAAAATATATTCCCCAAATTGTTTATTTGGTATTTCACTCACAGGACCTTTTACTAACGTTTCCATAACGATTTTCCTACGTGGCCTATAACGCGTATTCTTACACACTGATAACGGCAATGAATTTTATTTCTTAATATTGTAACCGTTTAAAAATATTTTTTATCTTTCTTGGTCATGCTTGTGTAACTAAATTTAAACTGTTATCGAAATTATGTAGAAGAATTCATTATACAAAAAAGTTAATTAAATTTAATGAAATTAAAACATAAAATTAAAACATAATGATAACATATGATGTTATGGTTCTTAAATTCGTAGCTAGAAAACTATTAAATCCGCAGATATTGTTTGAAAGGGAAGGAGAAAGTTATAAAGTATGCCGAACGCGACTCTGGGTGGCCAGAACGGCACATAAATCGGATAGAACACAATGATATGGCGGTTGAACGTGAGCAGCTTCTCGAAAGGTTTGCACCAGAATAATATCTGCAACTACAGCGCAGTCTATATTAAAATATACAGAAAAGAACTACCTTTTTGAATTATTTTTTGTAATTCCCCAACGAATGATTTATCCTTGAATAAGATATCTCAATTGGAGCATATCGATTGAAATGGTCGTTCTTGACCGCTATTCACTATTAAGGTGGACTTCTTGGACCATTTTCGATTTATTGAATTTCGTGCATTATTGAAATTGCTTTCAAACTCTACAGATCCTGTCCTTACTATAAGAACATATTTTATTGTATTCGATAACAATGAAACCAGTCAAAGTATTTTCAAACAAAAAATCTCGTGAATACAACTTAAAATTCCAACACTAAAAAAAACCAACAATAGTCGGGACTAGAACTCAACCCATTAAAATCAACCATGATTGCCGCCTTATTACTCATCCCTTCGTGATATCTTTCAAGCCCCATAGTTCGTAACGTCTTAATTTCATATACGAGGCCGACTTTTTAAGCTTTATGTGTGTCGGCTCAGTCCTAACGAGCATACACGCACACGCTAATCACCATTTTGAGTCCCTTCTGCTTTCACGCTACCGTAGGCTGCAGGAAAATCGTTGACCGCTTACTTAGCGGCATTCGACCATTATGAACGATTTAGTTCAGCTGTCAGTGAGGCGAGCAACTTTCGTCCTAATAACAGGAGCGGTCTTCTTTTTGACGGCTTATCCCGCATGATTTACAACGAACGGTGTGACCCTTCCAAATTTTTTGTTCCACCTTCAAATCATCAACGGTGATTACTAAAAAGATGATTTTCTCACCTTCGGGTTTAAATATAAAGTTACTGGGAAGGTCAATAACGAGAATAACGTTTTAAAGTTTTAATACTGAAATAAGTTTTTAAGTTGAAATAAGTTTTTAAGTTAAAATAAATTTTAAGTAAAAGCATACAATATTCACTGAACAATTATGAACCCAACCGTTTCTGTTATTCCGCGAAAAGTTTTAGAAGTTTTAAGTCGGTCATCTTGGAAATAATGGTGAAAATCCAAATTGCAGAAATAAACGTTGGCACGCACGTAGAGAGTCTCTTGTACGGTGTGAAACTTTGCGTTCTCATGCAAAGAGGTTGGAATTGTTTCTTCTTCGCCATGCATTGTCATCTTAATGAAAAGGGCGATTAGGGCGCTTGGTCTTTTTCCCTTGGGATTATGGAAATTAAACTGCGCAAGTTGCAAGTTTTCGAGAATAGCGGTTGCAAACTGCAACCGCACCGAAGAATTAAAAACTTCGCGACCGTTCGACTGAAATCCCAAGTTTTACTTCAAGAAAATTTGTTTTCCCTAGGAGCTACGTAAAGCTTTTCAATGTTTTTTAAAACTTCATATATTAAAAAATCAACTTTTTATAGCCTTATAATTCAAATATATCCTATTATTTTAACTCGAAGGTATTAATTTCCTTGGAGTTTCGTCTAGATTTCTCCTTTCGTAGAATCCATAGAGCCGATTTAAAATTCAACGCCGCCATTAGGAAGGGTAGTTCGCGCTCTCGAGAGTTCTTAAGTAGTTCGAGGAAAGCTCGCCCGAAGAGAATTATACTCGCTAATGGGCCGATAATTTCAGCCGCGGTATTGTTAACGCTGATTTAAACAATCCGCCCCGCAAATCTACTTAAGGTTGCGGTCCGGGAACTCGACAATCAATATTCCGGAACGGGAAACCTTTTTACACAAGGATTTTAGACAGGGCATTTCGTACTTACCTTTACCTTTGAGATTACTTCGATTCGAGAATTTTAACCAGAGCGAGAATAAAAGCGTCTGATTTGAAGGGTTTGGTAACGGTCATCGGAAATCGTTCGAAAGACGGTTACGATAATGGCATTTCCTTAATTATTCACTTTGCCGCAGTTTCTTTTGTCGTCTTGCGAACTTTTCTAGGAAATGAGGAAGGCATTTCTAAACTGTAACGACTGTGCAGAGCTTTTAAAACTTTTAAACTGCGTTTAGGGTCGAGCTCGAGATTGTCTTAAATGTTGCGAGGAGGGTTCGTTGGATACTTTAAGCTGATTTAAAGTTATTTATAGATTAACTTTTGTTTTATTAAAGAAACAGATTAAATATAATTAGTATATTTTTGATAAATACTAATTTAAAATTCCGCTATCATTAAAACGAAATATTAATTGGATTGATTTTCAAATTCATTTTCAAAAATGTATAAAAAACTTTTTAGTGATAATAACCTCTGTAAAGTAAGATATATTTGTTATCTTGATATCTGCACTGATGATGGGTTAGGTTGGGAAACGAAAGAAGCTCACGAATTCGAAAAGCGACAACAATTTTGGAATAATTTACGCTAACGGATGGGAAATCAATAGAAAAACCAGACAACTCAGAGTGCTTACATTATTATTTTTTTTGATATTCTTTTCTTTAATACTCAAACTCAAAGTATGGTAAACTATTGCAGAAAGATAAGGAATGTTGTTGCTACTGCAGCTGAAAGTGAGTAAACTTACCCTTCAAAATGCGCTCTCGAATGGTGCTGTATGATTTTTGCATTATAAGTTATGGCCATTTTAAAATGACGTAATGAGTTGGAACCCTGCATATGGATCAGTACTGTCAGACAGGAGGACACTCCATTGCGAATTTTGTATTGTATTAAACTTTTTTGGAATCTCTTTTGCTTGTGTTCCATAGATCTTGTGCCAGATCGGCTCTTGTATTGAGCATGTATGTGTTGAGCTCGTCTATCGATATATTAATCAGCTCTCTGTATTTACAGATTGTGTTCGTTGATAATATTCGGTATATACAAGATACTAAATATAACAAAATTAATATAACAATTTTCTCAATCTTTTCAAATAATGGTGAGTAATCACATTTTTTTGTAATTAAAACTTAATATCTTTTATTGCTCTCATAGAGAAGCTCGATAAATCAAATAAAATAAAGAGAATCAATATTAAAAAAAAACAAAGCGAGATATTAAAAAATAAACCGTATACCGGCTCCTCCGCCATTATTACAAATAAAATAAATATAAGTATGGCTTCGATTTAAAATAACATCACGTTTTCTACGAACAATAAATTGAAAATGAAATAATTATAAAAATATTCAGTTATTTTGTGATACGATTGTTGTAAATGGAACGATGAAATGTTTTGAATTGAAAATTACGTTATACCTTTTTGAACAAAACGTCAATTTGTGCCCCATTTTGATTACGGGCTTTGGATGTTATCTGCCCATTAGTTCCATTGTCTTTCATTGGTGTTGTTCATCACCGAGGGAGCCGCTGTCTCCGTTCCCGTTCACCAACTCAATACAATGGCCGCGTTCAAATTCAAATTCGTGCCGGAACGAAATGTTTATTGAACTGCGTGGGCCAGATAATCATATCCAATTTTCTATTATGACTGTGATACAACAACGTGGACGTGCCGGTTTTGCTGTAAAGCTCGAATATCTGTGTGGTACAGTTGGCCGCTCACCTCTTCACAAATAGAAATTGGATTACTTATTTCTTTGTGGTAAACTCTTTGTGCCGATTTCTTTGTTTCCGAAACGGGCGGACAATAGCACGGACGTTTTCAGCGTTCAAAGCAATCCAAAAAACGGATTAATAGCTTTATATTCTCTCCGTAACTAAACGTGCGCTAACAATACCGATAACGTTAGTTATCCACTTATAAACCACCACGATAAAACCTTTTCGAGAAACGGTAGCATGAATGTGGTGATTATCTTTTTGTTCTCGCTTCTCTAGACGAGATGGTACCTAATTACGTAGGAGAAGAAGGTAATATAATGACAGGTTGCGTGAGCCACGAGCAGACAGATAAATTACTTCAAAACCTAAGGTCGTGTTATAACCAAACCTTTCCCTCTTTTAAATTAAGCCATTTACATCATCTCCTCGTGATGGAAAAAGGGGGACGAGATTTTTAGACGTGTTACGCGGACTTGAACGTACACCGACCGTACGGTGGGAATTTTACGAGATATCCCGTCCGTGGCTCTACACATCTGACCGAATGGTAGCTATAAATTTAACTATATTGCCGTTTCCGCTCGGGTTTAGAGTCGCAGCGTCTGTTTTTATTTAGCGGCTTACCTCTAGTTATAACTTTATTATTGACCGTTCAGTATTTACGGTCCGTTTTTATTGAGGAAATTTGGTCGTAAACACGCCTCGATATTACAACAGCTTCAATTTATTATCTTTCAATAAAAATGAAAAGTTGTTTAAAAAAATGCATTTCTAAAATTATTATTATCCAGATATAATTTCATTGCATTAATTATGTTTTTTGATAACTTCGTATAAATGTGATTAACAGCAATGGGCTGAGACTTCCACCTTGTATTAAATTCCGATATCAAATTAATTCTTATAAATATGTGGGTAGCAACTATGTACCTGAATTTAAGAGAAAAAGACAAAATTAGAATAAATTCAAGAAAGACAACTCGGAAAAGTTATAATTACAACTTAGAACGTCGAAGAAAAAGTCTATGTTGAAAATATACAAAAGTAACAAAATTATAAACGATATTTTGGCGATTATCCTATCATAAAAATAAATGATAATGACACCATAGATGTGGACGCTCAAACGGCACGAG